TCGCATGATATTTTCCATGCAGTGCTAATGTCTGCCTCACTGCGGAGATGTATTCAGAGCGACAGACATTTAAAGCCTTGTGGATCTCGGTCACAGAGACGCTGTCAGTGGTTCTGATGGGAGCTCAGTCTGTTGAATCCAGCTCAGTGTGATGAGTAAAGAGTCAAAGTTAATTTTGGGAGAGTTCAGCTTTCTTATCTAGTAAATATATTCTCCTGAGTTTAAGTCATGCTCTAATTGTGTGAAGTCAAGTATAAATATTCCTGTGTGAATCTTAGTTACTGACAGAGAGGCTCTCTTTTTTATTAAAGATAAAATAGATGCCATGTCAAAAGTGTATTACTTCTCAGCTCCTTAATGCAAGTGAAAATATGACGGAAGAAATTAAAGGACAGATCAGTTTTTTTGTAGCGAGTTCAGATTAAGTGCATTCTTTAAATAGCCCTTCAATTGAGATACTGCTCACATTTTAGGAGCCGGTGAGGGAACCATTTCAGTAGCAAAGTGTCAGTGTCCCAGTCATATTAAGAAACTTTTTATATTGTTTGAAAAGGGATTACAGGACAAGTTAAGACAAGTACAGGGACACTAACAGTCAAAAGAGAATATACAAAGAGACGAATGATAACGAAGCCAAGGGGGCCAATGAAACTAGTAACACTTCTTGGAGAGAGAGAGAGTGTGTGTGTGTGTGTGTGTGTGTGTGTGGTGTAACTGTGTTGCTTTCTTGGGCCAGGACTCCCTTGTAAAATAAGTTTTGATCTCAAGACTTATACTGGTAAAATAAAAATTAACTATTTTAGTAATGAGGGTAATAACAATAATACAAATAATAATAGTTTTAAATATACTTTAGTATTAAAGATAATTTAACAACATACAACAACCAAAATCCAACCAACAGTGGCAATGATGTTAATAAAACAATAACATAATAATGAAGTGAGTAAGTCGTATATATACAACGGAAATAATGTTTTATGAGAAGTTCGAGCAAAAGGATATATCCTTTTTAATTTAAAAGTATTGAATACAGTCAGAAAATGCATTTGAAGTTAATTTGAAATATAACAGGTGTGCTTGAATAAGTTTGTACAAAACACACTTATACACTACTATGAATTGAGCTGAATACCCTTTTAAGTATATTTCCAACACGCTGGTGATATAATACAATTGTACTTAAAGTGTGTTTCGAATGCACACGAATCATGATTTAACTGGTGTACTTCAGTTGACTTAAAGTTTACATAAAGTTGTGCCAATTTAGCACACAATTTACACTTCAAGTATACTCAACTAATGCTTAAGTAGCAATTAGTATACTTGAATGTGACAGAAATAGTAAATTTTTCCTAAAAGTGTACTTAGTACATTCTTAAAAAAGTATAATTTAAGTATAATATTTTGTTACCTGGGTAATTTCATTCATTTGTAAAAAAATGAATTTATTATAATATATATATACAAACAATATGGCAGATAATTGTTAATTGATTTACATGATTTGTAGATTTTTCCATGGTGTGATATTGATTTTTGCGTAAATGATTTATAGTTTTAGCATTATACCAACAAAAACATGTCTTAATCCAACAAGTAATTAAGTAAATCTATTTACCATCTAACTGCTCCTAGTACTAGACTCCTGGTACTAGGATGGGTTAAAAACAGAGAACAAATGTCACTGTGTGTGCTGTGTGCTCTGCATGTGTGACCATTAAAGAGGGTTTCATCCCTCCCACTCTATTCTATAATGTTCCAGCCATCTATGACCTGTGGCGTTGAACCCCAGTGAGAGCAGTGAACTCCAACTCACCCCTTTCACACTGTTCTGTAAACGTGTTGTTTTCCTGGCATGATTTCCAGATGGTGGCTTTACATGTGAGACTGACTTGTAAATCAGACGTCAGCGGCAGCATTTAGCGGCTTGTTAGCTACACCTAAACACCTGCATGCTGACCATGGTGATCTTTGAGCTGAGATTAGCTGTGCCTGCTGCGCTTCTTTAGTTAAACATTATCACGGTCAGTGTGCTCTTATTCATCCCCTCAGCTACATGACAGGATCAAACAATAACAGAATGAAAAGAAACATGCTATTATTCAACAGTTACAGACAACAATCCAGTCATATTAAAATCAGCAGATTAAACAGAGTGGTAAATATGAGTCCCATAGTGAATCATCAGATTAAGACATTATGACATCACTATGTAACACTAAGGCTTCTATTGGCTATCGCTCCAACACATTGTACTTGATAGGCTAAGGCTGTCTGAATCCCTCCAAAAGCCTGTAAAAAAGAAAACAAGGATTATTTTTTATCTTTTCACGAGCTCATTCACTCTATTTAAGCATCTTTTGGAAACTCCTAACATTTTAGCTTATTCATTCATCAAACTAGAAAGATGCTTAAATTACTTGTTAAAGTACACACACAAAAACATCTGAATGATAGGGCGTAAATGCCCCGAGCATTGGCTTGCAGGTTCGATTCTCAGCTGGCAGTTTGCTTCAATGTCATTGTGATACATATATTTACTGTCTTTCTCTACATTTTAAATAAAAGGCAGATTTATCCTTGAATAAACTATAAACATATGCGTTTTGACCTGCTGTGAGACTAAAAGCAGCAAGGCACTCTAGTTCTAAATTTACTTCTGTGGATACTACGTTGACAGCACACATATTCAGCTCCTGTACGCTATATATTTCCTACCAACTCAAGCCAGAAATATGTTTTCATTCTCCTCCCAACATCCCCTCCGTTGCCTGGGTAAAAACTCGAAATTGAAACTGATTTACATCACAGCTGCCAGCGCCCCCACAGCGCAGCTCAAATCCTCTCCGGAGACATCCTCAATCTGCGCGTTATCCTTCATTGTGACAATAACTCCGTCGTGCAGCTCCTTTTTCTCCAAAAATTGAATCAGGAAATTGATGTCAGACAGGGTCTTAAAATTCCATGAAAACGCATGTGAAGCCTGCCTCCACATTTCTGCCTCCGTGATCCCAGGGAGTTTGCCAGCGTGAGTCCTTTTCATCAAGGGCTCACGCTGGCAAGTGGTGCTTTATAAAGGCCTGTACATTGAGGTGTTAGAAGGGCATTGGTAGGAGACCAGCTCCTGCTATAACATGACATACCGTACAAATAAAAAGCTTCAACTAGAGAGGAAAATGGCCGTGAGGAAAAGTAGATGTTGCTAATATTTGCACTATATCATTTTTACTTCGTAGTGTGCTCCAGCTGGTTCTTTGTTGGCACCTCTTCTCCACACACACACACACACACACACACACACACACACACACACACACACACACACACACACACACACACACACACACACACACACACACACACACACACACACACACACACACACACACACACACACACACACACACACACACACACACACACACACACACACACACACACACACACACACACACACACACACACACACACACACACACACACACATTGTTGGTTTTAATGTATTTTTAATTTCCCATGAAGTGACTGGAGTCCTCGGTGACCGGCCCTCCGTAATTGGCTGCCTGTGTGAACATCAGTCAGCCTAACGAGAGTGAGGGAGCTACTGCTGCCTGCACATACACAAAGGTACCCTCATTTGAAAGTGAATGCAGCCTGTCTTCTCTCCTTCCTGTCCTCTGAAACACACACACACACAGAGAAAAAGAAAGTCTCATTAACCAAGCTTCTGCTGCCATTTCCTCCACAGGGAGCAGACAGGAAGTGTTTACTTGTTACACCATTGTATGTGTGAATGCACAGGATAGAATTAGCTGGATGTGCATCAGCTGAGGCCTGCTTGAAATGTTGGGGAATGCATGCGCAGACACATTTCTCTTCCATTTGACTCATATTGAAGAAATTCATTCTTAAGCCTTACTGCTAACCCTTTTCGAATTGCGAACCAGTTCTTTGTGTTTCAACTGCAGCGGTGCCGGTTCTCGGACCAGAAAACTCCCAAAAGTATTGAACCCAAAAACTGCTGGGCTAGAACCGAAAACCACATACGTGAGAGGGTTACTTCGGATGCTGGGGCGAGATTAAACTGAGAATAACAGTTTATGGCATACATAGACTTTTAATGACCAGACATATGCCAGCACAAGCCGCCTTTCTGTAGTTTTTATACTGGCTATCACGTGTCATCAACACACAGGCTTAAACAGGTTGTCACATCAGGTAAGATCAATGTGAAAAAGATGCTGGTGAAATACACCGGTAGCAGCTAATGCAGTCAGTTCTCATTCAGCCATACATAGACCCGGTTAATGTTCGGCAACCTGCGGTTTTATATAACATGTAATGCATTTACATAATATACACAGTTATTAGTTTGTTTGCTTTTAATTTTGTCATTGATTAGTCAGACTGGCTTCAGTGGCTGTGCTAACATCATCCCTGTAATAAGATTACTTTTTTGGCGCTATGTTGCCAAATATTGCATACTAAAACGGAACAAACTAAATCATTTATGTGGAAATATGCATCAAGGGACGTTGCTTTCGTGACATTTAGACAGTGGCTTACTACTTTCTAGCGGCAGGTGCTTTTAGCGAACAGTAGGCTAACCGGCGATGAAGCACAAGCGGCGTACCATTCCAGCACTCGGCAAATGGTACCCATTTATGGCAAACTATATTCCAAGTCAGTCTGGAGAACAGTATGGAGCTGTGGAAGTCGTAATTCAATTCAATCTTCGTAAGAGCAACAGGAGCAAAGCTCTGACGCAGGCCGCTGCCTTGATTAAAAAAAAAGCACGATTTAAGCGGTGGTGTCATGGCTTCCTGCGAACCAATTGCAACCCAAACTAGCACCGAAATAGAACTAGAGTGGAAAGGGGATTTGGGGAACCAATCACCGAGTAGTCATATATTTCAGTCTAAAATAGATCATACACAACAGTACATTAATTGCGCACACACTCGGACGAAACACACAACACAAGGCCTTGTCCAAAGCAGTTTTGTCATATATAGGATTTATTTACACTTTCTATTTACAGATTCAAAATCATCTCTGTACACATTTTTAAATTCCAGAACCAGGACTCCTGTCACCCACACGCTCTAGTATTATTAGATTCTTCCGAGTACTCAAGAGGCAAAAGACATGGATGGAGGACATTTTTTTTCTTTCAGTTTCATAAACATAGTATTTTCATGTGAGCGCGAAAAGAGGAACAAAAGCTGTTACTTCAGGACACCCTCATGAAGACGCTCCAAAGTGTGTTGGATAACAGATAACGGGCTCCAGCCAGAACCAATAGGCCTTCATCACCATTGAGATGTTTGATTTGAAGCTTGTGAATGTGTTTGTTAAAGCATCTCAAGTAGTCAACTGCTTCTGTTTAAAGGGGAATTACTGCATATGTATTACAGCAAAAATAGCAAAACTATGATTTGAAGGGGAAGGGGTGTTCTCTTTTCTCCATGACGCACACACACGTCAACCTCATACATTATTTGCTGCCTCAGGCATAAATATACATAACCTGTAATCGCACAAACTAATGTAGTTAGCTAGTGAAAGTAACTCTAGGTTACTACTGTACTGTAGTTTTTTTTAGACATGACTTCTTGTGTTTTTGGTATCGGAAAGGCTAAAAAAAAATTAACTTACTACAGCAGGAGGTGAAATCCAAAGCTTGACAGGTACTTTAGTAACAATCGCTGTCCAGGGGAAGGAGATGGTGACCTATTCAAATGCCCAACGTTTTATTAAACAGTTCATGTTGAAAAAAGACATGTTCCGTCCTTTCACAGCAAGTGTCATACTATTGCTTCCAGAAATCTAAAATGTGTCATGTAAGGTCAGAAACTCTCCGGAGTCAGGCACAACTTAATAGGCTCGTCATGTAAACAGCATAAAAAAATAAAAAATGGAAAATCTTTAAAACGCTGGTTGAAAGAATAAATCTCATAAACAGAGAGAGAGGCAGAGAAGAGTTTTCCTTTGTCAGAGAGCATGGGAGATGAGGTGTGTAAAAAAAAAAGTGTGATCAAAGACTGACAGCTCTCACGGTAAAAAAAAAGGAAAAAGCGCTGAAACTTCCAAAAGAAACACCACCCCGTCCCGCTCTCCTTCCATCTCCGCTTCACACACCCACGCGCACAGTCAGGCAGGTTGTGTGTGTGTGTGTGTGTGTGTGTGTGTGTGTGTGTGTGTGTGTGTGTGTGTGTGTGACACAATAATGGGTCCTGGCGGTGTCATGACGGGAGGCTTCAGACGTTAACAGCTCAGCGTTATGTCATGAATGTCTGATTTCCCCCCCCACCCCCTACATTAACACCAATATGGTGCTGCTGGCTTTGGGTAAGACATCCCATGATGCTCAGGGGAAAGCAGAGGGTGTTGTTGTGATAAGACACAATAATTAATAAGGTATAATTTTAACGCCTCTGCTGCTTTTATGTGCAGCTCGCTTTATTTTGAGCAATTTGCTTTCATTATTTCACATTAAGGTGAGTTTATTCATTCTTATCTGTTAAGCCTGTCCCGTTTGTCTGGTTGACATTTTAAAGCCATTATTTTTGCTCAATTCTATTTGTGTTTAAATCACTATTATTAAGACCAGTTGGGGAAAAAGAGGTGCCGTTATTGTTTTTGAAAAACCATCATAGGGGCCTCTTCAATTAGGAGAACCAATATAGATCAAACATGTGTAATCGCTTTCTCAAATATGCAAGACTTCCTTAAAAACAGTCCGTGCACCTGCCGCTCGCATATCTTTATCGGAAATAAAATAAAGTGACAAGTGTGGATGACATATGTATAGGAATAACTCGATACTGGTGCTCAATAACTTGAATTAAAGTTGTACTTTTTGGAGTGTTTGTAATCAAAGTGTCTGCTTTATTTTGAGTTTTTCAGTAACTGGTGCACATTAAGTTTCTTTGCAAAGGCAGAAGGAGAGGACTGAGGTGTAAACAAAGAAATATGTCTCCTAATTAAGGCTTTACTTCAAGACCAACGCTGCGAAAAGGCCTTTTTTTGAGGATGATTTCCTTTCAAATTGAACTGCAAATCGTTATTTTTAACCCCATAATGATGTGTGTTCTCAATTTAGCAGGCACATAGGTGGAATATGTGTGAGGTAGAGCTGGGTTCAGAGAGGGGGGGGGGGGGGGGGTAGATAATAGATAAGGAATAAGTAGCTTTCTCTCTCTAAATGGCTTCTGTTATGTCGACAGTGTGATGCTGCAGAGGGGTGGGAGGACGAGATAAAGTGGGAATGAGTTGTGTTTGTTATTTTAGAAGGAAGGAGGCATGTTTCCCCTCACAGATCTCTGTCCTAGTGTTTGTTTTGTCATGAAGGTGAACATCCCGTCACGCCGGCGGGAGAAGAAAATAAGAAAAACAGGAGAGGTCGTGTTCCTTCAGGTTGACCAGGACAGCAGGCTCAGATAAATAAACCATGTAGCACGGCGTCCTTTTGCCATCTTTCTCTGTCCCTGCAAACTGAAAAAAAAAGAGTCACATTTTGGCCTCGGGTAGCAAAACTATGTATTGCCTTGGTATGGGATTTGTTTTTTTTGCAGAAAATATTTGTTTTCTGAGCGAGACTGGACCCCCGGCTGCTGAGCATCACCTCAGCGTCCTGCATCGCCAAACTCCGACAAAAAGTCCTCAGTTTGTTCAGAGCTGATCAGAGAAAAATCATTTAAAAAAAGGGCTCCACATCAACGCGTTAAAATGCTACGCCACACGTCGTGCCAGTCATTGGTTGATTCAAATCTCTTAGTAGCTGAAAGGCTGAATAAGGGAAAAGAGGTTAAGAAAGAGGGAGGTCTGTCCCCGCAGGAACAGAGGCCTCGAAGTTCAGAATGAGGAGGAGGAAGAGGAGGAGCTGCAGAGAGTCACGCCTATCATCTCTTGTAGTGGTTGGGCGCGTCGGCAAAGGCGAACTTCAACCTGTAGGCTTCGGCCAGCAGCACGCTCACTTCCTCGTTGCCCCAGTGCATTGTGGGAAGGTTCTGCAGGAGGATCATCTGACCCTGTTGGGAGAACAAGCAAAAGAAGAACAATTAGAGCGGGAGAAAATCACAACTTTCTGGATAATTGATACATTTTCTAATGTTGGATGATGATTGCAATCCTAATTTGGACCCCGTTGACACCTTCACATGCAATCTGTGACTGGACATCGTATCTGGATGAGTAAAGATCCATGTCAATACAATTGTAATGGAAAAGCGATCGACCATGGGATATTTGATGGCGATCTGGCTGCCATGGTGAGCATATCACAGCTAGGTGTGATTGCAATCAAGAAAAAAACCCGCCAATTTACTCTTCATCTTCTTTGTATCCTAATCAAGCCCAGCAAAAAGCTACAGACAACTCTTTTCACAGCAAAGGGATGTCAATATTACCAGAACAATTTAAATACATTTTAAACTGCAGGGCCCATGTAAAGCAATCTCAATGCAACTAAAGACTGAAGTTGGATTCTGGATGCGACAAAGTACACCCTTTGGGGTAATGCTAGTGTAGCAGATAGCGTTACACATGGGCTCTGCCTCTCTGAGTGTGACACAGATGTTATTAACTCAGTGGTTTAATAATAGCAGTGAGAGAGACAGAAGATAAAGAGGCAGGTACAGTGGGGCAAAAACGTATTTAGTCAGCCACCAATTGTGCAAGTTCTCGCACTTAAAAAGACAAACATGTTGTGTCTGTGGAGGAGGCATCCTATATAGAGCGACAGTAAATGTGTGATTGAGCTCTGCCCATTATCTGCCAGATGCATTTAGTGTTAAACCACTCGAGTATGATGCATATATTACAAAGGTGTTACATGACATGAACACCTGGGCTGCCATATAGCTCATATATACAGTGGGGCAAAAAAGTATTTAGTCAGCCACCAATTGTGCAAGATCTCTCACTTAAAAAGATGAGAGAGGCCTGTAATTTTCATCCTAGGTACACTTCAACTATGAGAGACAACATGAGGAAGAAAAAAAAAAATCCAGAAAATCACATTGTCTGATTTTTAAAGAATTTATTTGCAAATTATGGTGGAAAATAAGTATTTGGTCAATAACAAAAGTTCATCTCAATACTTTGTTATATACCCTTTGTTGGCAATGACAGAGGTCAAACGTTTTCTGTAAGTCTTCACAAGGTTTTCACACACTGTTGCTGGTATTTTGGCCCATTCTTCCATGCAGATCTCCTCTAGAGCAGTGATGTGTTGGGGCTGTCGCTGGGCAACACGGACTTTCAACTCCCTCCAAAGATTTTCTATGGGGTTGAGATCTGGAGACTGGCTAGGCCACTCCAGGACCTTGAAATGCTTCTTACGAAGCCACTCCTTCGTTGCCCGGGCGGTGTGTTTGGGATCATTGTCATGCTGAAAGACCCAGCCACGTTTCATCTTCAATGCCCTTGCTGATGGAAGGAGGTTGTCACTCAAAATCTCACGATACATGGCCCCATTCATTCTTTCCTTTACACGGATCAGACGTCCTGGTCCCTTTGCAGAAAAACAGCCCCAAAGCATGATGTTTCCACCCCCATGTTTCACAGTAGTTATGGTGTTCTTTGGATGCAACTCAGCATTCTTTCTCCTCCAAACACGTCTAGTTGAGTTTTTACCAAGAAGTTCTATTTTGGTTTCATCTGACCATATGACATTCTCCCAATCCTCTTCTGGATCATCTAAATGCTCTCTAGCAAGCTTCAGACGGGCCTGGACATGTACTGGCTTAAGCAGGGGGACACGTCTGGCACTGCAGGATTTGAGTCCCTGGCGGCGTAGTGTGTTACTGATGGTAGCCTTTGTTACTTTGGTCCCAGCTCTCTGCAGGTCATTGACTAGGTCCTCCCGTGTGGTTCTGGGATTTTTGCTCACCGTTCTTGTGATCATTTTGACCCCACGGGGTGAGATCTTGCGTGGAGCCCCAGATCGAGGGAGATTATCAGTGGTCTTGTATGTCTTCCATTTTCTAATAATTGCTCCCACAGTTGATTTCCTCACACCAAGCTGCTTACCTATTGCAGATTCAGTCTTCCCAGCCTGGTGCAGGTCTACAATTTTGTTTCTGGTGTCCTTTGACAGCTCTTTGGTCTCGGCCATAGTGGAGTTTGGAGTGTGACTGTTTGAGGTTGTGGACAGGTGTCTTTTATACTGATAACGAGTTCAAACAGGTGCCATTAATACAGTTAACGAGTGGAGGACAGAGGAGGCTCTTAAAGAAGAAGTTACAGGTCTGTGAGAGCCAGAAATCTTGTTTGTTTATAGGTGACCAAATACTTATTTTACCGAGGAATTTACCAATGAATTCATTAAAACTCCTACAATGTGATTTCCTGGATTCTTTCCCCCCATTTTGTCTCTCATAGTTGAAGTGTACCTAGGATGAAAATTACAGGCCTCTCTCATCTTTTTAAGTGGGAGAACTTGCACAATTGGTGGCTGACTAAATACTTGTTTGCCCCACTGTACAAGGTACGGGGAGGGGAAAGAAAGAATAAAGTGTCAAGTACAATCCAGCGGGGCTCAAGTCTTTGCCCATATTCCCGTTCCATACAGTACCGTGTAAGTAAAAAGAAAGAAAACAGGAACACACACACTCGGGTTCAATCTGGCCAACTAATGTCTCTCTCAGAGAGGAATGAGGCTGCTTAGCAGTGGGACACCCTGGTTCTGTGTGTGTGTGTCATGGTGTTGCCGTGACAACAGGGTTTACAACCAATCACGGTGTTGATAATCACATTGAGGGATAAATCATGTAGGTCTGGTGCTGTCGACACTGATCTGACTCCTGAGCTGCTATCGGAAAGGACACAGCTACAGTACGAATAGCATTTTAACACTGCATAACGTATTTGAATGAAATAAAAGGACATTCTTTTTTTTCTAAAAAGACTAAAGATGTAGGGAATATTGTAATAAACAATGTCCTTGTCTGATTTATCTGTTTGTATGCCTGGCAAGGACACTTAAAGTTCAACCTTATTCTCAACATTGAAAAAAAAATCCATACTTTAATTTTCGTCCTCTTATGCAAGGAGCTTAACCTCGTCATATAATTGTAATACATGCGTTTTATAACAGCAGGGTATATGCAGGAATCCTGAAGGCATATTCCACCCTCATCTTCATCAAACTACACAAAACTTTAGCAAGGTATTTTCACTACAGCGGGACTCTTTGTATTATTTAACCCTCCTAGGTATTAACGTGATGGTGTTTGGCTCCATTAATTATTTCCTTCCTCGCATGTTTTTAATGAGCCGATGAGACGACCCTGATGACTTTTCAACAAAAAGCATTTGTATTCCACAGGAGGAGGGAAAAGTACAAGTTTCCTACAACTAATTAAACTCAGAGCTGCCATCCAAGCCAGATTTTACAGATTAGGCGGCAGCTGTGTTTCATCTTCTGAATATCTTAAAAAGGTGAAACTCAGTTTTGAACTTGCGTGTTCAAAATGTTTGTTGTTAACTGAAAGAGTAGCTGGTGATTATTTTCACTTCCAAGAGCCTTGGGCCCTTGAAATGTGTTTAAACCCTTTGAGTATTTAAAAAAGTTCTTAGAGCAAAAAAGCTAATTTGCCCGGCAGTGTTGTCAAACATAAAACTCACGATTAGATTCCCTCTAAAATAATACTTGTATCCCTATCATCGGAATCCAGCTGCCCGTTTCCACGGTTTAAAAAGCGCTATAATAGATGCGCCTTTAAGGAAGAAACCTGAACCCTGACTTTAAAAGGCTGACCTAATAACATTCCCCCTGGTTCTGAAAGACGCACTCCTCTGAGGTATTTTCGCTCAGAGGGAAAGAGAAGCAGTCTGATCCGGATTCAGCACGTCTTTTCTCTCATCTGTATTCAATAGAGCATCGCTGTAGCTCTCCCCCTTTCACCACTCACCCCTCTCCCTTTCACACACACAAATCCAACAATGTAGCTCACGGCTAAAGGCAGTGTGCATTAACACGAGTGGGTTCATGTGTTGCATATTTATGATTATGTTATGTTTGCTCACGGGGAAATTATTAAATGCTGGAGAAAAAGGTTTTGTCCTGGTAAAAACATCAGGCAACTGAACTTCTCCCCATGTGCCAGTCAGAATTAAAGAGCGCAGTTCATGTGTATGGATGCTTTGTGTTTATGTAATAGTTTGTGTGTAGTAAGTATTCTGTGTGTGGCCCCGGAGGTCCTGGGCGCCTGGGGCTAGACACCATGTACCTCCCCGACTGCACCGCCCCAGGCTCTTTAGAAAAACGTAAGCCTCCCTATGGAATAACAACACTGTATCCAAGCTATGACTTGTAGTGAAACAACTTGTGCCGAGGAGCTAACAGGTCCATTAACAGTGTTTTATATTCTTTCCTTAATCATTAGAAATGCTTGAATTCAGTGGAGGGATTTAAAAACCAAACCAGATCAATAGGATGCTGTTGTTTTAAAGCAACACTTTGTAACACGGGATGGAGAATGTTACCTTATAATATTATCAGTAATGTCTTTTTTTATATTTTCTTGTTGTGTAACTATGTTGCAACATGTGTACCTAGAGACAGCTAGTGCTAGCTAGCTCCATATCTGATATGAATACAGACAGACTAATAATAATAATAATAATAATAATAATAAATGATATTTATATAGCGCCTTTCAAGGGACCCAAGGTCCATGGTGGACAAACAAAACAAACAGACAATCAACGGGCAAACCAAAGAAATAAATAAAGGAAGCCAGGGGACCAGAAAAGGGCTAGGGCCCAAAGGCCAGGGTGAACAGGTGTGTTTTTAGTGATAATTTGAAGATGTCCAGGGAGGCAGCATTACGGATCTCGGCAGGAAGTGCATTCCAGAGGGTGGGGGCCGCAACACTGAATGCCCTGTCACCAACAGTTCGGAGGCAAAAGCGGGGGATGGAGAGCAGGCCCGTGTCTGAGGACCGCAGACTCCGAGAAGGGGTGTAGGGATGGAGGAGGTCCGATAAGTACTGGGGGGCGAGGGTATGGAGGGACTTGTACGTGA